TCAGATAAGTTGATACTAGTTACTTTGCAGATATCTCTTTATCTTTTTAGTTTAATGTCTATTTGTAAACAGTAAAAACAGTACATCCTGAATTTAAAAACTATAAATACAAAAAATTATTATTATTACTCTAGTGAAATGATAGTGGGTTAGATAATAAACTGCCATAGTGGCAGTATTATGACCCATGACCTTAGCAATTTCAGGTTTTGCTTTGTATAAAAAGTTGGAGGTTAAGTTCAAGTTTTGCTCCAATCAGGTAACAACTCTGTGTCCAGCACCGGCTGTAGAGCTGGCAGAAGCTGAGAGCTGGGCATGTGGTTTGCCCCTTGTTCCTTGGTGAGTGTACCCTACATAAAGTCGCACCTCTGGGTGACTTTGTGGTGGGACCTCAGGAATAAACAGCTCTGCCTCTCACTGTCTGTGCCTGCCCTGAGTGGATGAGGTCTGCACCATGTCCCTACGTCCACAGTTGGTCAGAGAGGCTGCTTTTGTTGACACTTGTGTGTTCATGGGAGCCTGTCCTGTGGTTCCTGGTGGGGGCCTGTTTTGTGTTGTAGTTTTTGTTGTTGTTTTAATTGACTTTAGAGAGAAAGGAAGAGGAACCGAGAGATAGAAACATTGATGAGAGAGAAACATCATTGATTAGCTGCCTCCTGCACGCCCCTCACTGGGGATCGAGTCTGCAACCCGGGCACATGTCCTAACTGGGAATTGAACCAGTGATCTCTTGGCTCAGGGGTCAACGCTCAACCACTGAGCCACACCGGCAGGGCTTGTGTTGTTGTTTTAATCTGAGGGTGTTTATTGTCCTGATTCGTTTTCTTAGCAAATTGCAATTATATTTCATGGGCCTGTCAAAGTGATTGGCAGCTGGTGGAGTGCATGGGGCTTCTGGAGTCAGCCAACCAGGTTTTAATCTGTCACTAATAGCTTTGTGGCCTTGGGCAAGGTTCTTAACTTTTCTGAGTTTCAATTTCCTCACTTACAAATTGGAATAATAGGTTCCTAGCTCACCTAGCTTTTGTGAGGATTAAAATCAAAAAAAGGTCGGTAGAATTCCTGTTAGTGAACTCTTAAAAACAAACAAGATGACCACCTCTCAGACTCAGAGTCCCAGGCAGTGGAGGTGGCTGACGCACCATTTTTGTTTTAAAAACTGAAATGACGCAAATGCAGGTGACTTACTCAGGCTCACCTCTCCGCGACAGTGATGGGCATGGTTCCTTCAGTATGTGATACGCACTTCCTGAACCCACAGAATGCTCTGAGGAACGGGGGCAGAACTGTACCGGGGGTGCAGGGGGAGCATTGCAAGACCTCCAATTGCTTTTAGGGATTTTGCAGTCAGTCAACTCCCTGTTCAGAATTCAGGGCTCATTACTTGAAGGATTCTTTTGATCTCAGTTTTTCTTATGTGATATATTTCCTCCTTCATCTGTGGGTTTAAAATTTTTGTCTTGTTCCTTTATTGTTAAAAAAGCAAACAAGTATTTGCTGAATGAATGAAAACGTAAATTTAGATAAATGCAGGAAAGGGGAGGAGAAAGGCAATATAAATTCTTCCCCCCAATTTTGCAGTGTGGCTTAGAAAATGTACAAGTGTTTACCTACAAAGGACTTTTATATGCTGTTTGCCATCCTGTTTTCCTCCTCATTTGGATCTTTTGAAACGGGCATTTATAAATTCTGAGCTCCGGAGGGCTCCTCAAGAGCCTTTCTTCCTGCTGACTGCCTCCAGTCGAGAGAACAACTTAACCAACCCCCAAACCCATGATTTCCTTCCCGTTCTCCAGAGCTCTCTAAAGCAGGGTATTATATAGGTAAAATAAGCAACGACTATCGGTATTATTTCAAAGTAAGTGAAAATGTTGTCTGTGGACATTTTACCGAAGAAAGGAAATGACAGTGTAGGACTGCATTGAGATTGTAAGGATTGCTTTTGCCAAATGGTAGATAATTTGCTAACAGTTTAAGCATTTCTTTTACTAAACATTTGAACACATGGTTAATGATCTCATGGCCAAGTTAACTGGATCAACCATTTCCAAAATAAGCTGAATGTATGGAAGTAAAGGCTGCTGCTGCTGTTGAACTTTGCATATTGATTCCACTTACTGCCTAGTATTTTATTTTTAATTACAGTTTACATCTAATTTTATTTGTATTCATTTCAGGTGTACAGCATGAGTGATTAGACCAGCAGTTCTCAACCTGTGGGTCTGGGGGTCGAACAACCCTTTCACAGGGGTCGCCTAAATACATCCTGCATATCAGATATTTACATTACGATTCATAACAGTAGCAAAATTACAGTTATGAAGTAGCAACGAAAATAATTTTATGGTTGGGGGTCACCACAACATGAGGAACTATTAAAGGGTCGAGGCATTAGGAAGGTTGAGAACCACTGGATTAGACAATTATATACTTTACAAAGTGCTCCCCCTGATGTTTCCAGTACCCACCTGGCACCTACGTAGTTATTTGAATATTATTGACTATATTCCTTATCCTGTACTTTGCATCCCAGCCTAGCTGTTTGTTTTTTACTTCTGTCTGATCACATTAATTGTTGAGTACTAAGAGGTCTTTTAAGGAGCTTTTGTTGACTTTCTAGTTATATTTCTATAGGCAGATCAAGTCAAATTTATGTTCACAAGTATGTCCAAGAAAATTAAGAACTGGTGCATGGAAAGCTAGGAAAGCAGTTCCAGTCTTAGCAAGCTCAAAAGCATGTGGATTGTCAGGCACGTGCGTGTGCTCCTCCATTTCTGTACTTTCTCAGGGAGAGACACTTAGACGGGAGTAAGCATGTGCTTAGCTAAACTGAATCTGAATGGTTTTGTAACATTCCTTTATTTCCCTGTAGCTTGCCGATGACCGGATGGCTCTGGTGTCCGGCATTAGCTTAGATCCAGAAGCAGCAATTGGCGTGACAAAACGGTTACCTCCTAAATGGGTGGATGGAGTAGATGAAGTAAGTTGAATATTAGTTTTACACTATCTTATTTATTTAAGTAATTGTGACATTAACATGTTTTAAGATATTTGCCATAAAAGCTGATTTGGCTACGCTTGAATGCATGTCCTAGGAAAACTTTAGCCTTTGGTTAATTCAGTTTGCACACCACAAGAAAGGTGTGTGTGAGAGAGAGTGAGTGAGTGATTTTGGCTTAGCAGTAACTACCTAACCATAGAGAGAAATTGAAGAAATGTGTAACATGGAGGAGTGGTATTTGAATTTCTGGCTCTCTGAATGGAACGTTGCTCATGCGTCAGGCAGCCTACAAGTTGGCTGGAGACACAACTCTACCTGGAGTGTCACTGACTGTCTCGGTGGCAGGCAGGTACCTGGCAGGCTCAGTGGAGTTCTGGTGATTTCATTTGTTTAGATCCAGTACGATGTTGGCCGGATTAAACAGAAGATGAAGGAGTTAGCCAGCCTGCATGACCAGCATTTGAACAGACCCACCCTGGATGACAGCAGTGAGCAAGAGCACGCCATTGAGATAACCACCCAGGAGGTCACGCAGGTGAGCCTGGAAGTCAGTTCCCAGCCTTCAGGACCAGCTCGGAGCCGTGGCTGGTGTAACTCTAAGGGCAAGTCTGCCTACAGTTTCACTTCCCAGTCTGAGGTTCAGGAAGTACAAGTGGAGGCTGAGCTCCTCCCGGTGTCTGCTACTAGCGCCATGTCTGGATGAGGGGGGGGCGGCTTTCAGTTGTTGATACATACTACTGTGGATTAATTTAAAAAATTAAACCCAGAGCATTACTGAGTTCAATCATTTGATTTTAAAATGTGTGTAACTTCTATCATATACTAGTGTTTAAACATTTTTTGTGTTAAAAGTGGTCCTCATAATTGGAGGTTGGGAGTTTCTGCCCTAGACTGAGAAACTTAGTATCCTAGAGAAACGTGTCCTAGGAGAAAACCTCTTGTAAAATGCTAAATTTGAGTCATGTTAAGCCATATAACCAGTATTTATTTTTTTATTTTTATTTATTTTTAAATATATTTTATTGATTTCTTACAGAGAGGAAGGGAGAGGGATAGAGAGTTAGAAACATCAATGAGAGAGAAACATCGATCAGCTGCCTCTTAAAAATCCTGCTCAGGCTCTGCAGAGGGTGAAGTCAGAGAGCCGTAGCCTCAGAGGACCGGGACGGCTGCCTCCGAGGGTTCTCGCATTGCCTCGCCCACGGCAGGCACTGGGCTCGGGCAGCAAGGGCCCTGGGGCCAGAGGCCTGGGTTTGGAACCATCCCTTCTCCTCACCAGGCATCCGTTTCTTTCTTCCTTTTTTTAAAATATATTTTATTGATTTTTTACAGAGAGGAAGGGAGAGGGATAGAGAGTCAGAAACGTCGATCAGCTGCCTCCTACACATTCAGGACCGGGCATGTGCCCGCAACCAAGGTACATGCCCTTGACGGGAATCGAACCTGGGACCCTTGAGTCCGCAGGCCGACGCTCTATCCGCTGAGCCAAACCGGTTAGGGCAAGTGTTTAAACTTTAGTGTTTACATTTTTTATTAAAGTCTTCTGGGTGCTCATGATGAGAGGGGGGGTGCTGAGGAGAAGCTAGGTGAGGTACTGTTTGGATGTGGCTCTCAGCAGTGGAGCAGTGGCCAGATTCTCTTTGAATCCCCCCACACCAGGGTTCTTGTCTGCAACATGGGAAGAGTAGCACGTGCCTCTGAGGAGGGCAGCGGGGGAGAAGGAGGCTAGAGCAGTGGGGCGTGGGTGTGGGCGGGCATCCGAGCTCAGCGGGCTGCGCACACAGCGGCCTGCGTGTGGATTTGCCCTGTGCCCTGTCGGTGCTGGTCTGTCCGAGCAGAGTTTCAGCCTCATGGGGCCTCCTGGCTCGTTTCAGCTCTTCCACAGGTGCCAGCGTGCGGTGCAGGCGCTGCCCAGCCGGGCCCGCAGGACCTGCTCGGAGCAGGAGGAGCGGCTGCTCCGCAACGTGGTG